TTCAATTAAATATTTTGTTTGATCCACATCTAGTAACTTCCAGACATAGACCAATTTTAACAGTTCAGGTAGTACATTGTGATTCTAATTGGCGCTATGAATACTTGTTTTTTTTTAGTAAACGCACGATAATGAACTCGTGAGTGGGTTGGGTGGATGAGGGGGGGGGGGGTCTGTGAGGAGATCTCTTGTTTTCTAGTTTTCTAAAGGCATTCTTTTTTTAAAAAATAAAACAGTCTTAGCTACAATAGAAACGCCTTTCGGGATTAAAACTACCTAGTTTTCTTCCCCACCACGTTTCCCAAATCCTGTATCCACCCTGCATTGCAGAAGCAAAATAGATTATAATTTCTTCACACAAACATAGAAATGAGAATATTAGATCCCATACAAATAATATTTATGCATCAAAACGCCTGTTTGAAGCTCTAGTATCTACTGTTATCAATTGAAATCTGTTCACGATTTGATCAAAACGGCTCTTTTCATCTGCTGAGTATATTGGGAAAGTTATGAAAGTAATATATATGGTTTTTTTATTGCACGTATAATAGGAGGGAGCCTTTTCAGTGCTCTTTTCTTTTGATATTTTCGAATTTCGCGTGGGTGTTGCTGATATTACATAATCATATGTATATATTTGTCAGTATGCCTAGTATGAGAATGTGCTACTGCATTATTTTCCTGTCTTTTCAAAACCATTTTAAAATAGAGATAACCTCGGCCCTTTATTAAATATTGTTCGGCTGAAAACGTTATAAATAATAATTGTTTTTACATTATGTGCTACATGTAACAATTGTATTTTTACATTGGATGTGGCATGCAACAATTGTGTTTTTACATTGTATGTGGCATGTAACAATTGTGTTTTTACAGTGTATGTGGCATGTAACAATTGTGTTTATACATTGTATGTGACATGTAACGATTCTGTTTGTACATTGCATGTTACGTGTTTTTGTTGACTATTGACCTTATATTATTATAACTAAAATAGTGTATATATAGTCTGTAGACTGCAGTTCGGAATGTCGGTTACCTGGTAATTGGATGACAATGTGAAAAATACGCGAAACTATTTTTGTCCCGTGAACTTTTCAAGGTAATCACTTTCCTTTAAGACAATGATAAAATATGTCGTTAAAGTCAAGACAGATTGTCGCCAGAAGATGTGTGTTGAAAGGTTACAAATCGAACCAGGACTGTCTGTGTTTTGTTTAAAGGTATTCCTAGTGCATTTCATTCTATTTCTGACTCTTATAATTCTTTATGGGAGAAATCGGTGCTTGTGAAGATCAATTACTGCTTCTCATTTAGAACTTCATTGGCAAATATTTCACATAAGAAGAAGTTCAAATGGCTAAATAAGATGCCCCCACCCCACTCTTCAACCCACGCCTTCTCCAAAACCAACGCTGTGCCCTATGGTGGGAAAGGGAACTAGTTTAATAAGAGAAAGAGAATTTGTAAAGTAAAACGCTTTGTGTGCCGTATTAAGACATAGTTGCAACATCGAAGTATATTAAACTCACCAATACTTAGGAACTGTGGGATTCTGCCTCCTAAATCAACTTTTTATTTTGTTCTTTTTCCAATAAAAATGTCTTTACAGTTTCCTGTTAATTTTATCTTAACAATAAAATATTCTGGCACGGATTTCTTTCCCTTCATAAAAAATACCCCGGGTATATAAAATTAACCATTACCTATAATGTTGTAAGCTTTTTAAATATCTCACTTTATACCAAGCGATGCTATTAAACAATGCTATTAAATGTATGGTTTGTTATGACCATCCAGTATACGCCCCGGTTCTGAAAAAGAACCATTGCTGTCTATCAGAGACACGACATGCTATTATGCTTTCGAATGAATGGGACTATTTATTAATATACAAATAAGCATTATTGTAAACAAACAACCATTTCAAGGGTCTGTTTGAAGTGTTTTGTCATAAAAAGTCTTAATCTTGTGAACGGTTTTGTAGTCAATGAAATTGACCCCGACAAGGCTGTGGGTTCAAGGTACTCGAATTAATAACCTATAATATACAGTATTGATAATAAAGCACTTATCTTTATATTCTTTGAATATTGTTGACGATTTCGGCATAAATAATTTTGAGTAAATCCTTATTTGTATCGAGATTGTTTTGAAAGAGAGCAATATCCAAAGCGTTTGTGGCCGTGAGAATTGGGAAGTTTTTACTCCAATTCGGGTAAAGGTAACTATAGATATACTATACCGACTTACAAAATGAACCGTTAGTTCATCGGTGACTGTCAATCGCGGTCGCTATGCGAACATTGAAATGTTAAAGTCAATATTTTTATTCTGAAGTTGATCGGACGTTTAATTCATAGAATGAACAATACCAACTGTTATTTTAAGCTGAGCGAAAGACGGTTACATCTGTCAAGAGATTATGACATTGATACCTTTCTTTATTCTTGATGAATGTCATATCAGATCTAGGCAAATTAAAATATTATTCTATATTTTAATCTAAATACAATCTTTTAATTCGTGTTAAAATCGTATCTGCAGATGGGTCATACTGCGAAAACTTTCCTCAAGGTTCATTATATTCTTTAGTGTTTTAAAAGGTTTCAAATTCTTTTTAAAAACTTAAAAGATCCTTGAAGTAATAATGTTTAAATAGCATTAGACCTATTCGTAGCTAAACAAAGTTGAACTGGGTACAGCAGTAAAAAAAGCCCCGGTAAGAATTCTTGCGGTCTTTTGAAGTATGTAAAAACGGGGTTCTAAATATAATATGCGACTTAAAAGTGAGACCATCATAATATCCGGTGACCAATAAAGCTACCTACACATTTTCACATGCCATATACAGTTATGTTATGTATCTCGCCCGTATCCACATTATATTAATGTCTACTCTTGATAATCCTAATCAGAAAGAGTATTCTGAACTTCGTCCTTTTGTAAAACCCAAAGGACTGGCTTATGGCTGAAGCAATAGCCCAAGCGAGTTCCCTGCAAAACAAAGATTCGCTGGCAAAGATAAAAAGTATGTTAACCTTACAAAATCGCAAATTTCGTCTTGGTTTCAGAATTTTAGTCTGCCTTTAAGAGGTATTAACGACGTAAAGGTCTTCCTCGAACAGCAAAAGCTAATTTCCAAGTTGATATGAATTGACTACACAGCTACATGTTGGATTATGTGCAAAAGTTGAGACAAACTGTATCTTTTCCAAAAGTTTAACGAACATTTATGAAAGATCAGTGTTTGCTCTTTGGGTCAGTGATATTTTTAAAATTAAAATTTCTTTTTTCCTTGTTGATGATGTCAACACTCCATAAAATATCCAGAATGCGCAATATATCCTGTAAAATTCTAATTTTCCATGTTCTCTCCAACACATTTCATTGGTGCCTTGTTATCGAAATAATTGAATGTCATGCTCAGGTTTTGGTTGGCGCTTTGGGATTTCCAATCTGGTCTTGTAATGAAAGTTTTGACATGAAATCGTAATTAAATAATATTCAGGGACGAAGACTTGTAACTTTTAATTCACCGAGATATCAATCATAATCTTATTGTTAATCCCAACAGTCATGCCTTAACCTCGAGATACAAATAGTGGGAAATCTCATGAGGTTCGGTTCTAAATACACAAAATTCGAGATAACCACGCTTTGTTTTGTTACAAGATCGTCAATCTAGGGTTTCATAATGTTCTAATTGATTTGTTTTACGGGATTAGAGAACATAAGCAAGGATTAAGGAACATTATTAAGGATAAAAAGAAAAACATCACTGTTTATTTAAGTACTATATATCTTATAGGATAACAAAGACCAGGTAGTGGTACTGTAGAAACCTATTGTACGCTTTACGATTATTTCGTATTTGGTTGTAACGGATATCTATTCCTGGTTTCAGATTACCTCACATATTTCGTATTCTATGTCTTATTAGTGTAATATCCGTATTATCTTACTAAGGCATCAATGGTTTTATTGTCGATTCTGTTCTGTCACATGGACAACCCCTCTTCTCAGTTTTCTGTAGATACCCCTGGCTATAGTTGTTGGCATATCGGGTACAGTGTATCTTTGTGTAACAGATTGTATGTGTTATCAAATGATTGTATAGGTATTTGACTGGTATTTCGTTTCGTAGAATTTGAAACCGCGGTAAATAGTTGATATGAATCTCTTGTCCCTGATAGAATAGTCAGAATTGTAGCCCATATGTTAATGGCTCAAGGCGTAAGAGGGTCAATACCATTTTCCTATTGAAATGGTGTTGTCCATCCGCCTGTCTTTAAGTTACACGTTTTGGTAGGGGTTCTCCATCCGCCTTCCCGTCTGTCTTTAAATTACACCTGTTGGTACACATCAGCTCTGCTTTTAATTGAATTTAGAATGTTCAAACTTGAATGAGTTTAATGATGCGCATATTCTGCGTTGTCCTTCTCTCGGTCGGTGGAGTTACAATGTTTAAACCAGTTTTTGAAATAAACGTTAATATTAAATATAAATTTAAACACCCGTGTCATTTGTTCATGTTTAGATTGTGGCAAGGGACAACGTCTTGTCGTGCGGATGGGACAAAAAACCGAAAGCGCGTACATATTGGCGTGCATATAGAAGAGCCCTTTGTAGTTTGAAATCGCTATAAAAGTAGGCCGTAGCGCCACTGTCCGGGCAAAACTTCCCTCATAACACACTGTATAGCTTATGTCCATCTTCCTTTGTCCAGTCGGCGTATAACAGTGTGGCGTTACGCCCCATTTCATTTCATTTCATATTTCATATTTCATTTCATATTTCTTCATAGTAAGTCCCGATATCAATGCCATCTGCGCATTTTAAAATTACTTCAGACTGATTGGTGAATGGCGAGCAAGTGGCAGTCAATTCGAGGTTGGCAAGACCACAAAGATGATAGCAATGCAATGCAGAAATTATTTCTTGTTAAATAAACTGTATTGAATTAACCAGGACAAATATTTTTTGGATTATTTCAGATATTCTGGCTATCATCGGCAGATCATTGGTCGAACTGGACGAGCTGGAGCGCGTGCTCAAGAACGTGTGACGGAGGTGCCACTTATCAACTGAGAAAATGTATGAGAAGTTATAAATCACATGGCGGATGTAAGGGAGATAATATTCAATATGCCACATGTAATAACAAGGTAATTAGCTGATTAATAGGTCGTTATGCATATTAATATTGTATGTTAATTGCTTTCTTACAAACGAGGTTTCTAGAAACCATAATAATTCAGAAATATTACCTAGATCATAATATATCTTTAGAATATTCTAGAGCCACAAAGGAATGTATAGCCCTTTATCGTACATAATTGTACTTTAATTAAATGTTAAATTAATAAATTTTATACGTGATGGTCATATTGGGAGATTTAAATTACAACTATACTCGTGGCATCCACATACGTTTGGCGACTACTATGAGCTCGGGAGATGAAAGTTACTTGTGGCCAACTTCCTACACACTGTTACACAACAATGATTGAAGTATTTTAGAATGAACCGCTACTGGTAGTGTCAAATTCAATTTGAAATCAACTTAACTGCATTTTCTATCATATTCAGTAGTAACATTGTAAAAAGACATTGTTGTACAGATGTGTTTATCTCCATTTTTTCATGTCTGTAGCCGTGTGAGCATGGGTCCCAGGATTTCCGAAAACAACAATGTGCTGCCTATAATGATGCTGCCTATGGAGGAAGATATTTTAAATGGTTACCTTACATAGATAGAAAGAATTCCTGTATCTTATACTGCATAGCAAAGGGAACTAGAACGGTAGCCATGTTGTCTCCTAAGGTTTTAGATGGTACAAGATGTAAGGGAGAGACGCTGGATATGTGCATCAATGGCAAATGTCGGGTAGGTATTGATTCCATGTCATAATTAATAATTACCATTGATATAGTGGAAGGGAATATAGTTACTGTTATAATAGAAATTAGAAAAGTGGTATCAAGCGTTCTAAAAAGAGTTCATGGACTACCTTAAGAAAATCGTGTATTTCTAAATAGAATTGTAGCTATAGTTTAACGTAGCTAAATGATGCAAATGTCACACGGTTTCCCCCGTAATCTACATTCGTACTGTTTGTTAAAAAGGTCAAGTTTAAGCCACCATACATCTGGGTTATGGATCAGAAACGAGAACTTATGACCAACATTCGTCCCAAACATACCAAGGTACCCCAAGCTTCTGTTACACCATATCAATCTTTATCACAGACAAATCAGCTTCACCATAGCAGTGATGTTTCCGCTTTAAGCATCATTGTAATCTAACGTTTAATATACGATATAAATCACATACTGTAGCTCAGATGACAAACCGAAATGTCAATCAATCTATTAATCCCTTTAAAACACCTGTCACAAGATACTTATCGTAGCTTAATCTGATATATTCTCTTTGATGATAATAGGATGCGCATCATTTACGTATATCTAAAAAATTGAAGGCTTATCTGTTTTTGACTAAGGTAAAGGGTAATAGTTTTGAAAATGGATCAAGAAATTAGATCTAATTTATCAAGAAATAATATTCTCCATCTTCTATTGTTTTCAGGACGTTGGTTGTGATCACGTGCTGGGTTCCCAGTTAAAGGTGGATTCGTGCGGTGTATGTGGAGGAAAGAATGTTTGTCTACAACACGGTGCTGTGGGGAGATATCAATGGGTGGAGTCGGGCGTGTCTGAATGTTCGGCCACCTGTGGTGTAGGTAAACTTGATTATTGTCAGTTTTTTTTGTTAGGAATCATTATTTAGAGTGACAGCCTGGGATCGGAAAGTGACTTCGTGATTATTTGAACTTGACGAGTGTATAAATTGTAATATAAATAGTTAACATATGGCGAAAGAATACATGGTTTGGTGTACAGATATCGTTCCGTTTAAAATGGCTTTAAAAACCTCGATGATCGTTAACCTAGCCCAACTTTGTCATCTGGTCGCAAACATTGGGCTACCTGTCCTCGAATGGGTCTATTTTCCAAGCTGACCTGACCGTCCGAACAGTTGGTTTTAAAATCTCAGGCTTCAGCTATCTTAGGGAGGGCATGTACATTTCATTATCCTCTCCGTCAGCCAGTTAAATTAGTTTCTTGTATAGTCCGTATATACGCTGCACTTGGTTATTAAAACAAAGTGTGAAATAGCTTTATTGATGTCCAAGACAATCTTACGAAATACAAATTGTAGTGAATGAATTATGTAAAATTGTACAAAACCAGGTGGAATCGCCATAGGTAAAATGTTCCATAATGAATTGAAATATCACAATATCAGCAAATAAACCGCTACACAAAAATTATAAAATGTCAACGGTGTTCTCGTAAGAAAGCTGTTTTGCCATGAAAAGAGCTGTTTTGCCATGAAAAGGTAAACATGGACATTTTTCATCCATTTTAAGATTTAACGTTTAATTTAATTTTAAATACCATGTGAAAAATGAAAACCGGAAGTGACATAACTATATTTAGATGAGCCATGTTTTATGTTGTTTTCGTTCTTACCTTTTAGGTTTTGAAATATGAAACGTGAAATGATAAAGATCTATTTTCCGAGACGTGAGCTTATATCGTTAAAACAAAGAAAGTTTTGCTTCGCTTGAGATAATATAAAATCTTGTTGAATAGTTATATTTGACCAGATCCATTGACATCTCCACTCGGCACCCACCCAGTTTAGTTGATAGTAATCAAATGTACATAAATTACTATGCTTTCAATACAGTCCGTCAGCACGTCAACCCTACCATGTTCAAATAGTATCAGTGGTGTTCCAAACGTTAATTTAACCATGAAAATACGCATAGGTATGTTTTGTAAACTGACATGACGCTCATTAACAAAACAGACTATATGATAACATGGAGGTTGATAGATACGGAAGGCGGTACCAAATATTTGCGGAAGACTTTTTCTAATAAACCTGCGGTACTGTCATCCGCCTGCCAATCACCATACATGGCAACGACCTTTACATACGACATTTTTAACATTTTATATCCAAAGGTCATCAAACGTTTATCGCCATGTTTTTTACGTTGGTATTATCATTTTTACTCCCATTTCACTGAACTCGACAAATATTCATTCAAATAATCTCCTTCACACATTCTAGTTATTGACAAGCATCAAACAGGCTCCAGATTCTTTCAAATTCTTCCCATCGTTCTTGTCGCGTCGCGCCATCTTTAATTTTGACTTTACTATGATTTGTTCTTTAATAATATATAATTGACAGATTGTGGCGTATTCGTTTTTTTCCTTTTGCTATTTCAAATTTAACAATATAATGAATTGTGATTTCTATAGAGTTCTGTATTGAATATAACAGACGGGGACAGACTTTGCTCGATCAAACGAATGATATAGATAATTATGATGAAGCTTGGATGGGTACAAAGGCCTCTTATCAAGCATCATGTTTAAAAGTGTCAAAAGTGAAGAACACTGTGAAAAGCTACCCCTGAAATATCTTCTTTTAATATTCATCTGTCGTTAGTAACTCGAGACTTCGACGACAGTAGCCCAAACTTGGTAGCTTGACCACCCGTGCACGTTCGGTCCACATAAAGATTGACCGTCTAATGACCATTGTATAGAGTGTCTCCTTAATCACTTCACACTATCTCGGTTTTACTATAAAGCTTTCTTTAATGGCGTATCGTTAAATGATTTAGTTTGCTTACTCGTGTTCAAGTCTTATCGACATAGGATTGTTGAAAAACATGCTTATACATACATACATCAACTCGGGCTTGATATTTGAACTTGGTCTATATTTTACAAGAAACTGGGATTACTCATATGAAACCAGAATTTTGTTATCATATCACTACTGCACCGACAAAGCATAACGAAGACGGACATATGCTATGCGGTGTGACTGTGATCAGGGTTTTTTCCCCGCACATCGGCGCTACGAGGCCTACGGCAACAAGCACGTACAAGGGACCACGGTGTTTGGACCCATACAAACGACTAGGAACGGTTCCCTGTCAGGTCCCATGGCAAGGAAAATACAGGCTGGGAAATCCCTGGGAACTTTCTCGGCCAACAGCGGGATCGAACTCTAGATCTCCTTGTTAGTAAGTCAGTACCCTACTCACTGAGACTCCGAGGCTCCCGATCAAAAAACCCAAACGATATGTGTCATTCCAAGTTCATAAATAGCAGCCAGAAAACACGTTTGATTTTGATAGATTAATATTGGTTTGGGCATAAAAGGACAACCAGTTCATTAGGTAAGATTTTACCTTGAAGCCACAAGTCTAAACAACTTTCCAAGTCAAATAGAGACATCAGGGAACATAATAATAAGTTTGTCATAACATAATTAGTAATGTAGATAAATTCTAGTACTACCTGGAAACGTTCAGTAAATTAAATTAATCCAATAACTTAAGCAAATACCCCAAATGACTTTATAATGATACAAAGCCATTGACCAATTTTCTTATATCTGAATATTTTATCACATATATACCTATATGAATAAATATATAAGACATAAATATTGACAGTTGACAGATTGTTACATACCTATGTCTATATAGATAAATCTATAACATAACAATGGCAACAACAACTAAAAGGAAGTTAATTGACATGAATGGGGTTATGGTTAATGATAAATGAAAAAGTAATGATATTGCCACAGATTATATCAACATTAGCAACAAGTTAAAGAATATAAATCACTATTAGAAATTATTATAAGTTGATAGAAAATCATTTCAAATTTAAATCTGATGTCAAAATCTTGATTTAGATCTTCAATATTATCATAAAACATCAAATAAGGGTTATTTATGAGCTTGAAAACTATTAGTTTTAATATTTATATTAAAAATTCCCATCTCTTCGGTTTGGCACGTAACTATAATATCGCGGTGCAGTGTTAGGTTTAGTTCCGTTCGTTACAAAATATCGATCTTGGCCTTGGCACATTTAAAGGAGCTAAATCTCTAACTCAATATTGTCCATGATATTCGAAATTTAAAACTCGAATTATAGTACAATTTTAGTCTATTTCATTTAATATTGTTGTTGTTGTTGTTAAAATATAGGATCCTTATATACAATATTTAAGACAAAATGAATATTTTAAAATCAGTACACGAGTCGTGTACCTTACGCATATAATGGTTTCGAGTGTCATTTGTAATGAAAATACCCCAGAAAACAACGTGGAAGTACTTAGAATGTACTAAGCACACGCAAACGAATAGTGTTCAATTGGTACTGTTCACGTATTTCACCGAACATAATTGATTAAAAAAAAATTACAATAACAGTTTGAGAAAAAGGGTGTAAATCACTTTATATACACCCATTTTACATTAATGTGCTTTTAGACTTATTTTCGTCTATTTTAAAGAGAGATACAGTATACGCCAAAATGATTCTCGGAAATGGCTGCAATTAGCAAATAACTGTTTACTTGATTTTGATGTATAAATTGTTGCTACTGGCTCCAAATTTTGTATGCCGTTAACACCTGAAATTTGGAGATACACAAACTAAGTACCATACTAAAAACGTGTAGCCATTCGCCGTACATATCGCCTTAACCAACCTCGTAACTGGGCTATCCTGTCGCCTCTAACCTATGAATATTTACCACAACCTGACAGAAAATGTTAATTCAAACTTTCTTCTTCGATATAGACAAAACAATCAACACAAATGGGTTTGCAAAAGGGGAGGAAAGGGTGGGGTGGAGGTGGGGGGGGGATTGGTATAAAAAGACGAACTAAAAATTGAATTTAGATTTAAAAAAGTTTTTATGAAAATGTCACAATTCCTATTTTTCCACGGTAAAAGAAAGCTGGCTATAGGAAAATATTTTCCAAAATTAAATTGTAAATGTTTGACTTGCGCCATATTACAAATTTCGATGAGTTCTTTAACCACATGCAATTTTTCACCGACACCGAAAATTTCACGACCCTACGAGTAGTTGCTGAGAACATAGAGAGTTGGAAAATAATAGCCATAATCTGAAACAATAATATGAAACCCTAATAAAAGGTAAATCTATATACCTGTAACGGTGACTGGATTTCACGGGCAAAAGTAACGGTCGATCAGTTGTTTCGAATTGAATAAGGGTTCCCTGAAATCGGTTACTTATATTCTTAAATATTCTCAATGTGGATCGTGGATTGGGATATGCCAGCTCCACCACGTATAACAAAGATGGCTCAACCTACAGAACTATACTAGAAGTTTATAATTGTTTGATTACAGGTTATCAGGAGAAGTTATTTTCGTGTAAAGACAAACTTCACAGCAGAATCGCCAAAGACCAGAAATGTTCCAAATCACCAAAGCCATCTAGCGTAAAGAAACAGTGTTTTTATAAAAGATGTCCACCATCGTAAGTTGACTATTTTGAAATAGATATCTGCTTTATTGTCGTAGATTTCACTGTCTATTAAAAACTACATGATTACTAATGTCTTTTTATTTACCCCAACCCCAGAATGAAATGGAACTTGACGTCCTACTGTTCTGCTCCGATTGGGCTAATGATTGCACATTATTTTCTACACCGAATTCTAGTTGTCAAATATAAAAAAGAAAACGAACAGAGTTCCCAAAAAACGTTGTTTTAAATAGATTAATTTACTGTTTAGCAAATAATAGGAATGCAGTAATAACCCGAGAAAAAAAACTCTAATACGACAATTATATCGCATTATATATATCCTGCATGAAACTAATTAATATATGATTGTGAATAGGCTCATAATTTCTAGGTGGCGCGTTGGTCCATGGCACGATTGCACGAAGACATGTGGCGGAGGGATATCTACAAGGAGTGTTGTATGTATTGATACATTACTGGATAACAGGCAACGGACACTTCACTACAGTTTATGCCCTAGTCCAAAACCTACCAATAAGAAAGCATGTAACACAATGATTTGTCCTACATGGTATGCTGGAGAATGGTCGCCGGTAAGTATAGAACTACTTTTCATCCAATCAATCCAGAATCTGATTTTGTATTTTTGATTATTGAGAAAGGGGACATAATTGATCTCCTCTGATACTATGAGATGAATTTAAATCACAGCATCATCCGACATCTGAAACAGGCATTATGCAAGAGCTAAATCTGCCTATTGCAGGTCTTTGTTTAGGTCTTAATTGTAATACGAGTTATAATTAGACATTAATTAAATTGCCAAGGCCATAATCAACTCTCGATGCAATAGGGTGGCTCCGATATTAAGTAGATTTACCGTTAAAATGGATAATCGAAACTGATCTAATCGTATCTAATGCCACTTTAAGCAACCGAGCCTGTCAATGTTATTTTTATTTTATTATTCAGTGTAGCGTAACATGTGGTTGGGGAGTACAGAATCGTGATGTTGTATGCCGGGATGAAGGCAATACATTCTGTAATGATAGTATCAAACCTGAGACTAAGAAAAACTGTACTACAAACTTTCCTTGTTTTGAAACAGGTAAGAATCTACACAATGTAGTAATCGTGATGAGCAAAGTTTACATATTTAACGACCTGGCTATGTTACGAGAAATTTAGAAAAAATACTAAATGCATTTCAAAAGGGTGTCATGTGTTGGTTGCTGGGTAAAAGGTTACACTCTGAATAAAAGGTAACCAAAATAAACAACCAATAATATAAACTCCTTTTCTCGTTCCCCGTCTTCATTAGCCCATTCGGTACAGGTACAGAAAAGTGGGACGTTTAACCTTATTTCATTCATTCCTTTTCTCGTTTAAGTTTCACATAAATTTCAATCCTATAAATAATTGAAATTTTGACAAAGCGGCATGGTTTATATTTATTGAGTTTATTATAGTCGTTTACTAAAATAAAAGATGGAAACTCGACATTAGGTTAAAAGAGACATACACTAGCGGACACATGAATATATTGAACACCTTAAAAATTGTATCTTTGACAATTATGTATTTTATTAACTAGTGTTGCTGTATTTTGAATAGGGAGCCACGGTGGCTAAGTCGCTGACTTGCTAATCTGGAGGTCGCAGGTTCGCTCCCGGTGTTGACCGAGTAAGTTCATCGGGATTTTCCGGCGTGGTTTTCCCTTGTCAGTGGTGAAGGACGTAGGGCATGATATGGACAGTTGACTGAGGTCCCGTGTACACATTGACGTGCACCTAAAAGATCCGTTGATAGTTGGAATTCGATATGAGTAGGCCGTGGCGCTGCCCGGGCAAAATTTCCCTCATAGCACACTGTATGGCGTATGCCCATCTTCATTAGCCCAGTTGGAGCAGAACAGTAGGACGTTAAACCCCATTTCGTTTCATTTCTGTATTTTGAATGTTAACGCGATCCACTTTATTATGTGAATTCTAAGTTTGGTTGTTTGTGAAACATTATTCTTTTTAATAAGTGATATTAATTTTCCAAGGACGTTATAAATACTATTCAGCACTTTTCGTCCTATTATTACCATATATTTATACTAAAAAATATAGACAGTCATAGATTCACGTCTCAAGTATAGATTCACCTTGAACGTGTGTAAGGTGAATTAATGTAAACTAAGATGTTCTTAATTACCTTAATCCACGTGTCTTATCAGGCTAATCTACCTGGCTTATGTTTCTTCCATTTTAGACCGAGCAAAAACTTGTTTTAACTCTTAAAATCCTTACAGTTTATATAACTCAAACCATGTTGGAAGGTTGAATGAATGGTATGCTAACATGACAGAAAAAAATGAAAACACACCACAGAACATGTGTTAAAATCACGTTTGAATGTTGAAAGGATTATTTTAAGTTTTTTAGACTTTCCAAAACGATATGAACGTGTATTAAAGCAGTATGGGGTAGATCTGTGTGGTATATATGCACATGGAATTTGCATGTTTCTTTCTGTATTAAATACTAACGTGTGTATCTTTATAACACGTGTTTATTCTCTAAAACAATAAAGTTTTAATGTATCTGTGTTGGGTTTTGTTATTGCAGATGGCCGTTATGTAGCTGAACACGATAAAAAAGGTAAAGTATCGTTTGAACTGCATACCATCCCCTTTTCTTTTAAAAGAATAATCCCTACTGTTTCCAGCCATTGATCTTGGTGGAATCTTGTAGCGATACTTTTGTACTCACTGGTTCAGAAATTACGCCCGTTCGGTCTACGACGTGCCAACATCTACCTTTACGGTAAAGTAAATATCAACATTTCAACAAAAGAATGAGAGCCAACAATCTACCCCCCCCCCCCCACCTCCCATATCCCCGATCCCCCCAAAACCAAACGACCAAATGATCATTTGTACTTGATAACGATAAGAGAATACTTGTCGAAACGTCGTGCTATATGTGTATAAACCAGTGATTGTATTCCATATAAATTGTGTTGTGTTTTTAAATCGATACAGTTGCGTAGAGTATATCTGTCAAGAAATTGTGTATCTGGCTTGAACCAATATAGTTGCTTGATCATCAACTAATGCCCATTGATCTGTATATTCATGAGAACCGTCTTCATCTAACAAAGTTCTATATATCTGGAAGGACTTTGTACTTTGTATCTATCACCGATCAATGTATCTCCATGAACACTGTGTATGTCCAAGGAATCTGTATTTCCAAGGACTCCATGTAGCTGCCGCGGACACTGTACATTTTCAAAGACATTGTCTATCTGTAGGAATACCACAAATCTTCCACGAATAAAATCAAGTTTCTTCAGTGAAACAAGACTTCTTCCACCAGTCCTAATAAAAAAATATTTATATCAATGAAACACGGGCGTATCATGGATTATTTGCCATTGGGAAATAAGGGGGAGGGGGGTATGGCCGAATGGTTAGTGCGTGCGCGTGTTGTATCATAAGGTCTGTCACTGTCATTGAGTCAGCTGGCGTGGTTTCAATTACCCGGTTGTTCGTAACAAGTAATAGGGTCTCCTGTCCAACCTCGTGGGTTTTCTCCGGGTCCTCCAGTTTCCCCTCCACTGCTAAAGACCCCTACGCTCAAGCGAATTATTGAAGTAAAATTGAACTATTCTCTCTCTCTCGCTCTCTCTCCCTCTCTCTCATTGGAAATACATGTATGTTTCCTATTTAAATAAACTGTTGTTCATCAGCAAATCGCACATTTGTAATGCAGGCAATTATTCATCATTAAAAAACATGAATTTCTAGAAACCGTCCCAAGGCTACACACTATTTTTCAAGGTCAAATTCTGGAATGTGAATATTATAAACTCCACCCGAGATCTGGACAATCTGTTTTAAGCATTGCATTAGCATGTTATGTTTGGCTACAAATAGTCGCAAAATTCATTCATTGCATATCTCAGATAAAAAAAATCTTTTGTAATTATACCCATACATTCTCTTTGATATTTCATTGAAAAGGATTTCTCAACCCGCTGTCTCATAAATGATACACAATCCTACAGATATGAGTAAATTATTAGCATACCTGGAAATGTAGACGAACATGTAACATCATGTTTACAAGATGTAGCTTATCCAGATTTCCGTTATTTGACTAGTAACAGGTGTAAAACTCATCAATAATCACATAGTATATATAATGTTTATATTCTTACTTATGTATTTATCTTATAGTCTTTCAATACATATGTATACCACATTCATAACTGATTTACATATTTAATGGTGTGATGAAAAAATAAAACACATTAAGTTTTTAAAGTTAACCTTTATGTACGCAATAAGCAATTAGTCAGCTGTCTCATGTTTCATACATACAATAGCGTCGACTATTATACTCAAAAGATTATTCAAGCGGACAAAAACATGTGTTGGTTTAAAGGCGAAATCAGATGCTTAATATTTGAATTTGAACGAATCGGAAATGACCCCCAGGCCCTGAAAAAGCAACATAGCAACACCCCCCCCCCTCCAAAAAAACCCAATAAACCCAACAAAACCTGCAATCAAACATTAATAATTTTCGATAGTATCTGTTGGTTACATGACGTTGTATACGATTTTATATTCATTAATTCTTTTGAAGTCAAAATATTTTGGATTATATACATTGACTAGTATTTCAAAGATTGTTGATGCATTCCACTATCTTTACAATATTCATACATCGGGGTATCAAGGTTAATACGTATAGACTTATTATTTGATCAGTTAATATACATGTTTTAGAAGTTCAAGAAATATCATTAGGCGAACTAAGACAAGCTGCTATTAAAGCTGATAATACAGAAGATGATGATTCAATCGTCCACGAAGATGATGTTCAAGGGCATGATATGAGTTCGCCAAGGTAAGTGTTCTTGCAAATGATACCTAAAGTATTTTGAGAATGTCTACCGGCCCCATTCGTAATCAACCTGTGATCTGATCAAATCGCGGCGATTTATTACTACTGAATTTTAATTGAAACAGGTATTATGTAAGAGCTGAATCTGCCTGAAGTTTATATAAATTATTAATTAGACATTTATTAACACGACAAGACTATAATCAACCTCCAATGCCAACGGATGGTTCAGATTTTAAGTAGATTAATGATTTATTTTAAAAATGAAGTTGCGAGGCTAAGACTTGAATGACCAGTACGCTGGTTACGATCAATGCACACAGCTTGCCTAATCTACATCCATTGATAACTTAGCTCAAAATAAAGTAATTTGAATGAAATTTTCAATTATTTATTTTTTAAATATTATAGCCGTACTTTATCTAAATCTTACCTAATGCCCCTTTAATGTATTTTCGTCCATTAGGTATGTGGTATCTAGTTGGGGACAATGTAGTGTAACATGTGGTACTGGTATAACAAGAAGATATGTCAGATGTCAGGTCTTTCTATTATATCTACAAGCTATAGTCGATTTAGCTGACTCTGAATGCGAAGGTAAGCTAAAAACTACACCGTTTCTTCCGTTTTGGAATTCTAGATTAAATGAACATGACAGCTTCCGTGTTGTTGAAGAATGAATTTTATATATATAATTAAAGGAGCTAAATCCCTATTCTGTGGCACCTAGAAGTGGACATAAATGGGTCGCAACGCATATAATAATGTAATATGAATGTATATAAACTGATTTACATTCAATCGTTTCTGATTTTACTGTAATTTCTAATCACCTATGTTCGGCGAAATACGCGAAGGGTGCAAACTGAATGGCACTCTTTGCCGTCTGATTATTCCAGTCTACTCCGGTAGTCTTCCCTTGTGGGATATGTTTAGCCTCGTTCATCGTGTCGCTCATTATAAATGGCGCTCGCAAGAATTCTGGCACGCGATTGGTGTGTCAAGTTTAAAATTTTCATTGTGTCTTAAATATTGGATACCAGAAAACAATCTTTTCACGGTAAGATATAACACCATCAATGCTGATTTAAATTGACCAATAAGTCGTGTTCGCAATGTTGTGGAGTGTGGATGATACTGAGTTAAAGACTTAGCTACTTTAAATATGATATGTTCTGTGAGATGAACATGCCCAACAAACTTTTGTTGTTAAAACAGTTATAATAATGAAAACCCTTGGAATTATAACGAAATGGCTATCTTCTTAGTGACTTCGTATTTAGAGTAATATAATCAAGAGCAACGGCTTTACCAATCGGGTGTTTTTGTATATGTCTACTACATATATAATTAATCTTTCAGATTCTAAACCAATAGAAACTGAACCATGTATCCAGAACCCATGTTACGATGATTTTATGTGGAAGGCATCAGGATTCACTGATTGTACTAGAAGTTGTTTAGGAGGTGAGCTTATAACAATTACGTCAATTATGTACTGGTCACACATCACTCTGCAAGAAAATTTATATTCTTTATCAATTTATACCTATTTATAGAGTTATTGACCTTGATTTTGTCATATAATTTTGTCAACGCGTCAATTTTAGAATACAGTACATCTATACCGATCTAGCTTTGTGTAAATTTAAAGATCCAATGTGAAATGAGATTTATGGACCATACGGGCGACATGGCTGCTGTGGGCTTGTGTTTCTTGCTTGTATCTTATCTTTAAGACTGCCCTATTATAATCTAAAAGCGGAATGATTTTTGTATCAGGTACTCAGGAAACCCATCTTATCTGTGTTCATAAAGTCAATGGATCAATGGTACCAGATGACTTTTGTGAGGAAGCTCCAACACTTGCTATAGAGAGAAAAATATGTAACGACTTCTCATGTCCACAAAGGTAACTATTATCTGATAATTTACATGTATCTTGGAATCACTGATTTATATAACGGCGGATTACTTTAGTATTTAAACTGAATATGGGTCCAGTGTATCTAATGAAATTTAGATCTAAGGCATTGTCAAATGGTCGTTATACACGGGGCAGGATATGTCTACCTATTCTAAAACACCCGATACCGGCTTCTAATTTTGGGAGTTCGCACAAAACATTTTTGCTGTATTTTTGTGTGAGCAAACATACCTTATCAGCATGATTGTAATGTCCATTGTAGTGTTCATGAAAAAAAGAGTTAATAATGCAGCAATGCCAAATGAAATATATTTCTTTGGCTTTATATTAATAAATGAAAAGTGATGCTGGGCTGTGAAAGATTAAGGGATAGTTAGCTTGGTCGTGGATTTCGAGTCTACATAGCGCAGTGGTGTTGGGGCTCAATCCAAGCCATTTAAATACAAAAGCACAAAATAAATTGTTAGCTTGGTGGTATTATCAAATACGTGAGAAATCGTATCAGATGTTCCAGATAAAGGAAGCATAACCTACAGAATGTACAATCGATATTTATAGATGGCGTATTGGTGACTTTGGGGAATGTTCAGCAACATGTGGTGGTGGTCTCATGATCAGAAAAGTAGAATGTATACAAGAGTTTAGCCATGGTTCTGATAATCTACTCAATCTACCAGACTTTATGTGTGAACAACCAGTACCAGAGAGGGAGAGATCATGTAATGTTCAACATTGTCCAGCATCATGGACTACAGGACAGTGGTCAGGTGTAAGTATCCGTAAGCCTATATATATATACTCTTCAAAAAAAGTAGGGTGTATTCAGAAACAATACAAAACTGCGGAAATGCACTACTGTTTTTATTAGAGGTAACAGGCCAATTGCCTACACATGAACATAAACAGTCTTATCAGACGGCCCCATTTTTGTCTTAATAATGAATAATTGCTCAACCAATCCTCAGACATTCAGCAATTCGTCGTGACATGCTCCTAATCAACCGTCCAATCACGATTTGGGGCAATCTGACCCACTCCTCTTGCAGTGCCACGTCCCCCGATTATGTCCCAGACATGTTCTATAGGGGAAAGGTCAGGAATCAATGAATCATGGCTGGCCAATGCATATGGACAATATGGTGACGCTGGAGGTAGTCATTCACGACACGAGCGCGGTGGGCACGGGCATTGTCAACTTGAAATATGAAAAGTCAACCTGCACGTTGAGCAAAGGGCAGAACTATCGGTGCCAGGATGTGGTCACGGTAGTACACACCAGTGACCATTCCTTGAACAATATGCAAGTCAGTTCTGCCAGCCACGGCGATTCCACCTTACACCATAACGCGGTCGTCGCGCATGCAAATGGACTGCATGCAGCCGATTTCTAATCGTTTGGGGTGTAACTCGAATTCCTGTAACTTGGTACAAGTTTACAGAAAGCTGATTGGCCGTTTGTCCTCGATTTTGTACGACCTGTGTACGAATATATCGATCCTGGGCTTGTGTAGTGGCTCTAGGACGACCTGAACGAGGTCTATCATCAGCATTGTGTGTTTGTTGGTACCGGTTCCACAGTCTGCTGATCACAGACTGTGACAAATTAAGCATGTTGGCTACTGCTCGCTGTGTAGAACCCATTTGAAGCATGCCAATAGCACGTAGACGTTCTTCATGTTGAAGGCGTCTCATTGCAAATTAAACGTAACACACTAAAGCAAAGATACGCTAAACAGTAAATCATATGCAAGAACCGATAGAAAAGCAAACATGGATAGGATAAACCAGCACGCGGCAGTTTCCATCAACCCTTCTTTGAAGTGTCAAATTTGACAATGAACCCCTCCCACGTGTATGGCGTTATTGCGTGTCCCTTGTGCGCAGCTCAGTGGTTCTGTTGGTTCATCTGTGAACATACACTCAAAGCATGTCAAGTGTCCATGACTATTTATCATATCACAACCTGCATAGGTATTTTCATTTCAATATCCCCTACTTTTTTTCAAGAGTATATATTATAAACTTTATTTATTAGTGTATCTGTATCATATAATACCACGGAAAATGCCCTGTATGTGGTTTAATAAATGAAGTCTTAATAGCGAATAAATTGAAAGCATAGTTTCTTAAAGACCAAAATTCTTATTCAAGCCATCTGTCAGTTATTAGTGCAGATACAAAAAGCTTTTCGGGTTCTGCACGAAGTGCAAACACACACTCAGCTCGCATAATATATTAATTCTTGGTAAGGATTTAACTATTAGAGAGAGAAAGAAATGGGCTTTAACGTTTACTCGACACAAACTAGGTCATTTCGGGACTAACATAAGGTTTAGTTTTATTTCAATAATTCCCTTGCGCGTAGGAGTCTTTAGCAGTGGGGGGAAATCGGAGGACCCGTAAAAAACCCACGAGGTTGGACAGGCGACCCTATTCCTTGTCACGTACAACCGAGGAATCGAAACCACGCCAGTTGACTCAATGGCAGACCTTATGATGCAACGCGCACACGTTAACCATTCGGCCATCCAAGCTGCTTTAACTGATAGAAAAGGGCATGGTGTTTAATACCATACTTGTCTGCACCAACCGGGCTAATGAAGACGGGCATATACTGTGTGCTGTGAGGAAAACTTTGCCCAGACAGCGGCGCTATACGGCCTACTTTTATTTCGAATTCGAATTAACAAATGTTATTATACGTGAACGACAATGTGTTCACGGAACCTTGGTTTTTGTACTATCCGAACGACTAGACGCTTTTCCTTGCCAGATAAGGATTTTCCCAATTATGAAAATTTTAACTGCTTATTTTTTTTTTATATCATATCTACTACTATTTCATTTTAGTGTTCCGTGACGTGTGGTGAAGGAATCCAAATTAGACCAACCCTCTGCCAGAAACATTCAGCAGGCGGCAAAATAACAGATGTCAGTGATACATTGTGTAGGCCAAGTGAACGTCCCGAACAATCCCGACCTTGTAACGAAACAGTCTGCCCACTTGTCAGGATCAAACAGCAAAGAATTAAGTTCTTTCAACTGAATAAAATGTCAAAAATTCGACTAGTCGTTGGAACCAAAGCATTCCTCTTACCTGGAACTAACGTTATTGTTCGATGTCCTGCCAAAGGATTTAATAAAAGAATGATATTGTGGTATAAAGATGGCCGGCCAATAAAGAAGGGCAGACGTGTAAACATTTCCGGAAAGGGGAACCTAAGACTTAAAAGAATACGCCCAGACACAGACGCTGGGACCTATACATGTTATGCTGATAGCGTATCGGCAAATATAAACATACAGTTTAGTGAATTAATAGACATTTTTCAACAATTATCATTCAGGGAAGCATTAAACACTAAAAATAGTGATAACAAAACTCATTTCTATAAGGACCCCTTTGATCATAAGAAGAAACCATTAAATATTATTGTTGGAGAATGGTCTTCGTGCTCCAGAACGTGTGGTGGGGGAAAGCAACGTAGAAATGTATCGTGTGAGATCATCACAGACAATTATTTTGAGATTCTACCGTCTCGTGTGTGTAAGAATGCTGGAATGGTCTTACCCTCAAATGCTAAAAGCTGTAACAGAGATATGTGTGTTCAGTGGTCTGTGGGAAACTGGTCCAAGGTAATTTCTTTAAACGTCCTTTTGAAAAGTAATTAAAAGTGTTTCATTTCGGGTGTAATTTTTACTTCAAAACATATTATTAACACTTTTACAGCCAAAGGAACCGGTATAGCGGTCTGCCCAAAATGACGCCATAACCCGATCGGCCGCTTTTCCATCCACACGTGGCTTTGTTATTGTATAAAATATGTCCGGAATCCGGAATTGAACAAGAAAATCAATGACCAAGTTCTGGACTGGTCTGAACACATAGCAACGCAAGAATAAAGACAAGTTAATTGCCACAAAGGCCCAGATAAAATGTCCCTTTTGCTTTGAATCAGCTGCTTGTGTCCAAAAATGGATGATTTGAATGGAATTGAAATTTTTATGACATAATGTGGCTTCAGCTACCGGGCCATGACGCCATCCCCACCCTCCCATCCTAAATGCTGCATATAAACTTTATTTTCTATTTTTCAGTGCTCTGTGGATAATTGTTTTAGAGAAGGCCACGCCCTACAGTCAAGGACTGTCAATTGTACCAAAGAAAGTAACGCAAGAGTAATTGATGAAAACTTATGCAATCCTTACACACGTCCGTTAAATAGTCAAGAATGTACACTAGATTTATGTAAACCTTTATGGAATACTTCAGAATGGTCGTACGTAAGTATAAACAATAGAATTTAGTTAACCTAATTACATGCAGCGTTCAGCATTTCCTGTTTACGGTAGTGTTTTGTCAATTAAAACTTTATCTTTATTCAGTGGTTTATAATGAAAAGCAGTTAAAATAATACCGTAAATATGCAGAGTTCTGTTGACAGTCTTTATTACAATTCTGGGTGTAATATTATGAAAGGAATCGTAAATCTAAACCAGGAATAGCTGAAATAAGAAAGCATTCTAATTTGCAAGGTGGTCTCTTGGACCTTAAGTCATGACAAACGTACTACGGAGCGTTTAAACGTGCATTAGTTAATCGCATTTGCAGTTTAAAATGGGGGAAAAAAAATTTATTTGAGTCAAAAATGAAGGTTTTATGTTTTGATTTAGTACGTCTGGATTTTTTATTTTTAGATATAACTTGGTTAACATTTGTACGGTTAAGCGGTCGACCTAAATGCAGGAGTTCTTGTTTCTAGCTGGTCCAGTAGATTTTAATTCGGTTATGTCAAAGTCTGCCCGCCCGCACAAGAGTTAAATATTGTCATAGCCTTTACCAGACTGGTAATATACTATTCAAAAAAAGTAGGGGATATTTGATTTTGGGGGCATAATACTAAAATATGCAAATGACTACGAAAAAAGTCACTATAGAACCTAACAGAAGAAACATTTCCAGTTACATGTGACGCCCAAACGCACCAATAGCTACCGCATGGAATGCAGGTGATGCTTGGGATCATCATGGGGGTCCAACCCAAGATTTGCACGACTCTGACTTTGAATGTTACAGTCATTGTGGCATTGAATTCCAGGGTGGAAACATCAGTTTAATTGTTTTAGTGACCAGAAAACAAATTTTGATATGCGTCGGCTTACCCAAAATGAAAGGTTACGTGCCCTTGGCATGCTACAGATCGGCACAACACAGGCGGTTGTGGCGCGGACGATGAATGTTTCTCAGTCTGTCATAAGCAGGCTATGGTCCAGATACCGTGATACACAATCTGTACAGGACCGACCACGCTCAGGTCGACCAAGGGCGACAACTCAAGCCCAGGATCGATTTATCCGTACCTTGGCCTTGAGAAATCGTGTCATCACAGCAAATCAGATCAGCGCTCGTCTTCAAACAGACACTGGTGTGAGAGTGAGTGGCCAGACGATTCGGAATCGACTGCATAGAATCACCTTCGCGCCCGACGTCCTCGCGTGATCCCTTGTTTAAGAGATCATCACATTCAGGCAAGACGTCGTTGGTGTAGGGATCATCAACACTGGGATAATCGACGCTGGAGCAATGTGATGTTTTCAGATGAGTCAAGGTTCACTGTTGATTTTTTGGACAGACGTAGGAGGGTGTGGCGTCGTCGAAACGAGCGCTTCCAAGACGTTAACGTCATCAGACATGATCGATTTGGGGGTGGTTCTGTTATGGTGTGGGGAGGCATCACTGTTGCTGGAAGAACGGCTTTACATGTTGTTGCAGGGCGTGTTACAGGCCAGTACTACCGGGACAACATCTTGGCAGTCCATGTTGTGCCGTTCGCACGACGTCATGGCCGCCGTTTCATCTTCCAGGATGACAACGCAAGATGTCACAGGGCCAGGATCGTTACAGGTTACCTCCAACAACAGAACATCACCACATTACCTTGGCCAGCACTGAGTCCCGACCTCTCCCCCATCGAGCATTTCTGGGACATGCTTGGACAGAGGTTACGTCAACGTCAACAACGTCCTGCCAATGTCCAAGAACTTGCTGCTGCGTTGCAACAGGAATGGGACAATCTGGACCAAAATGACCTTAGACGTCTCATTAGGAGTATGCCACGTCGGATCAATGCTTATTTGGCAAACAGAGGAGGATTTACCCGTTACTGACTTGGTTGTGATGCTGTGGTAACTTTGCTGTTTGACCCCGGGTATCATTTTACCCTTATAATGGTCAGTCTGTGCCTTACTTAGTCTAACGATCATTTGGAATAAATCGATGAATGTGAACTTCATTTCATTTTGTCATTTGTTTCTTCGTCAGTTTCATTAGGTGACTTTAATAACACTTAAAAATCAAATATCCCCTACTTTTTTTGAATAGTATAGTTAAACCTCAGATTGATTGCGTAAACTACATGAACATTAGCATATTATATACTATATTCCAGTGTGTTGCAGATTGTGGTGAGAAGGGATTTCAATCTCGTATGTTAACTTGTACTTGGTCAGTAAGTGGTAAAACAGCTGGCAGAGCTTGTGCTGATATGCTCAGACCTGTAGTTATGAGAAAATGTACAGCACAACCATGCTCCCAAGGTAAGTCGACAATAATAAATAGCACATGGAGCTTGGTCCATCATGGCGTCTCCTACCTCATTAAGTTTCCTGATTTACTTGTCCAAATGTCCAATCTGAATTCCCCAGTGAATTCCTTTAAGGTAGGAGAGGTTGTTTCCCTTTAAGATGTAGGACTGGGTAATCTTTGGTGATGAATCCAACTTCAAGGAAAATCACTGAACAATCTACGTTGATGAAATATTTCGATGGGATGTCGTTTTATTCTTTCACTGTCTTTGACAAACGAAAGATGTGAACTTAATGAAGCTACATAGATATCTAATGGCCACAGGTTAATTAATTTGTATACTCCAGTTAATCAAACCGGAAGAGGCATAGTGGTCTGTCATTGAGTCACGTGGCGTTGTTTGGACCCCTAGCTTAAGGGTAACATGGAGTAGGTTCGCCTGCCAAGGCTGGTGGGTTTCGAATCCCCGGTTGTACGTGGCAAGGAGTAGGGTCGCCTGTCTAACCTCGTGGGTTTTCTCCGGGGCCTCCGGTTTCCTCCCACTGCTAAAGACCCCTACGCGCAAGCGAATTATGTAAATAAAGTTAAACCATATGTTAGTCCCGAAATGACCTAGTTTGTGTCGAGTGGACGTTAAACCCCATTTCTCTCTCTCTCCAAGGCTGGTGGGTTTTCTGCTAAAGACTTTCCACGGAAGTGAATAATTGAAATAAAATTTACCCGATGGTAGTCTCTAAATGGTATAGTTTGTGTCGAGTGGGCGTTACCTAATCCTCACCCACTCCCTCTCAGTCAATCCATCGCCGAAATATAGTCTTCCCGATTACTAGGCGAATCTCCTATGGTCAATTTCAACATAATATTTTTCCTCCCACTGCTAAAGACCCCTACGCGCAAGCGAATTATGGAAATAAAAATGAACCATGTTAGTCCCGAATCGACCTAGTTTGTGTCGAGTGGACGTTAAACCCCATTTCTCTCTCTCTCTCTCTCTCTCTCTCTGTCTCCCTCCCTCTCTCTCTCTCTCGGGGACATCTAAATATGATATATAAATTTAGTTACATTTATTTTCTCGCTGAAAGAGATAGACCTATTGCCCCTTAAAAGTGTTGAGTCCATGTTATACCATTATAAACAGGATCTGATCACTTGTCTCTTTTCTCTTTCAGAATGTACTGATAAATATGAGCATTGTAATATTGTGAAACGTGTGAACTTTTGTGACAATTCTAGATTTAAACGAACATGTTGTAAAACATGCACGACAAATTCCCGATCTTGATGACATCATCAACTAGTCTAATATATGGTATTTATAATGAAAGGGACCATGTTCAAATTGGTGATCGGTAAAATTTCTGGAACAACTAAAGTATCATCGTAAAAATTTGAATGATTTCGCTGTGTTCAATATGGTGGAAGAACCAAATACAGAACCCGTATGACGTGTCCAGAACGGGAAGTAACTCTGCGTTACCTGTAGATCTAAATATTGATATTAATGAATTCTTATATCATAATTATAATTCAGGGATAATTTTAAGGTTATGCCTTAACTTTACGAAGTGTGTGTGTGTTTCTTAGTGCAATTCCTTTGCTGCATAGGGAAAATATCATAGACCTTTTTTCATAAAATATTCAGTAAAAATGGAGCAATTTGATATTAGATGTTTTATATTAGATGTAATTAGTATGAGATATTATATCAGTTACTTTGAATGTTCCGGGTCTTGACAGAGGCGTGCAGAGGTATGTCGGTGCCCGGGGCAAACTCCTTGATTGTATGCCCAATATAGGGCTTGCACTGAGAAATGTGAGAACTGGAGAGATTTTAAATTAAAAACAGATGCAATAAACTTTTTATTCAAAATAAATCAACCACAGTAATTAAGTATTGGATGAATGCCCCTGGAATGGGTGCCTGCCCCCACTTGGTTTTGGAGATGCCTTACTAAAACGTCATTACTAAATTAATTGTTTTCTTATTTCATAAAGCTGTGATGTTGTTATGAAATCCTGTCACCTAGGTTCTCTTCTACTGTGGGTGGTGAAGGTTGAATTTCTGGAGTAGCTTACTTTCGAAAAGCCTTGGTATCCCCAGTGATCTCATTCCATTCAATTCCACTATACCCTGGGTTAATCCATAGGGTTTCCACGATTTCAAATTATCTGCCCTGGTCTCGATTGTAGCTAAACTCTACGAACCAATCAAAAACAGTTTACAAACCAGTCTTACTAATGAAACGGCCTTCGTTTCGTGTTCGTTTTTTATAAGGGTAGGTAACCCTATCCATGTCCATTTACTGAATGATTTATGTAAATAATGTATATATTTCTAATTCATTTATATTTAATCTGTAGTATGTTTCACTGATTCAAATATATATAACATCTATATGTTTGACTTTTGTTATTATTATTACTATTCGTTCTTTGTCTGAAATGTTCCATTCTGTTATGTTTATTATTATTGAACTTATATTGGCAATGTCGATAAAACTCTTGAACCTACATATATATATACACACACCTGTCTGGTCTTCATTAATATATTATATAATAGTTGTAATTTGTTGTTAAAAAATACGCATTTAGCATAATTTGGACTTCTCTCATTTAGGCTACCATCTGACTAATTCCTATCCTTGTCTCTTGGTGAGAGTTACTTCCCTTTGTCAACTTCCTTTGCAATTAATTGGACTTCTCTCATTTAGTCTACCTTCTGACTAACTGACTAATTTCTAACATTGTCTCTTGAAGGGGAGCCTTTGCGTTTTGCTTACTTTACCTGAGGAGAGTTACTTCCCTTTGTCAACTTCCTTTGCAATTAACGATTTATGGGATTGGTCAATAAAAATAGCACAATCATCAAGGGCAGATGACTTGAAAACGTGCACCCCCCTCCCCTATAGATTAACCCGGGGGTTAGTGGAGTAGAACGGAATGAGACCACTGGGGATACCGGGGATGATTTTCGAACAAAAATTGTTATCATCTGTCATTTTAATTGTTGGGTTTTTTTACATATTTTATGTAGCTATCAACCTCCTTTGTACGTTTCCAACACATTTTATGTATATCATTTCTCCTAAGGATATTTCAAGAAAGGGTGCTAAGCTCAAAGAATGCTTCTTAGTATTTTTTGTTTGTAGGACACGCGACACTGTTAATATTTATAAGTAAACTGTGAATGTTATTTGTATGTATATGACTCGTTAAACAAGGGTATTGTTATTTATCTTTGTGTTAACATAAGATTGAAAATTAAATGTATTTAAGTTTAATATATTGGTAATAAATATCTATAAAATATATAGTTACTGTATCACTGGAGTACCCATAGTTACCTTCAAAACAAAGGAAAGACTACAGAAAATTAAACTGAGCTGTCGGTCATTTCATCATGACATCACCAGGAAACATATTACAGTTCAAAATGGACACCATTATTTAAAAATCCAGGAATCTTATCTTTGAATTTGGCTGATATTAGTTAATCCTTAAATTCACACACTCGCCATAAGTTGATTTCTCTGTCAATCTTATTAAAAAATATGTTTATTTATTACCCTAACTTATAATATAGTTGGTGTGCACGTAACAAGATAATCACTCAAGAGAAATGAATACAGACCGCCATTGATCTCTTATTGACGTGAACAGTGTTAGTTTCACCAGATCTTATCATATTGTTGTCCCCCGCCTTTCGAAGAAAGCAGGGGACTATTAAAATGGGTTCGTCCGTCTGTCTGTCCGTCCGTCCGTCCGTCTGTCTGTCCGTCTGTCTGTCCGTCACACTTTTTGGGACACAATAACTCTCCTCCTAATTGAGCTAGAATGTTCAAACTTGGTGTATGTGTTTATTAGGTCAATGCCTTGATGGAGTTCGAAGATGAGCATTTTCCGCTTAGGGTAAGCAGAGATAAGCAATTTGATTGGTTGATGCTTTGGGACACGATAACTCTCTTCCTAATTGGGCTAGAATGTTCAAACTTGGTGTATGTGTTGATTAGGTCAATGCCTTGATGGAGTTCGAAGATGAGCATTTTCCGCTTAGGGTAAGCAGAGATAAGCAATTTGATTGGTTGATGCTTTGGGACACGATAACTTTTAATTGAGCTAGAATGTTCAAACTTGGTATATGTGTTTATTAGGTCAATGCCTTGATGGAGTTCGAAGATGAGCATTTTCCGCTTAGGGTAAGCAGAGATAAGCAATTTGATTGGTTGATACTTTGGGGCACGATAACTCTCTTCCTAATTGAGCTAGAATGTTCAAACTTGTTGTATGTGTTGATTAGGTCAATGCCTTGATGGAGTTCGAAGATGAGCATTTTCCGCTTAGGGTAAGCAGAGATAAGCAATTTGATTGGTTGATGCTTTGGGACACGATAACTTTAGTTCTAATTAAGTGAGATTGATGAAACTTGGTGTATAGTTTCATTACAGTAATACCTTGACTAAGTTTGATAATGAGCATTTTCTGCTCAGGGTAAGCAGAGCGATACGCAATTTGATTGTTAGACTATAAGTAAAGATATACTGTTTGATTGTTCAATACTTTGTAAAAGATAATTTGTGATAAATTTATATGTGTCCTCTAATTATTTTCCCATTTCGGCGGGGGACATCAGCCTCACTGTTGGCTTGTTGACTATAATGGACACCACTAGGCGAATTCTTCTCTAAGTTTTCGTTGGGCTGAACGCATTCTGACATAGAAAGGACAACATCTGACATTCTTTTGCACTAAAACTGAACTAAAAAACAAAACACATACTCGTATTAGGCGACGTTTCGACGAGTATTCTCTCAACGGTATCAAGCTGTAATGACATAGGATACTGCTACGTCGTATCAGTTTCATATCACTCATCAAAATAGTATTTCCATGGTACTGTTAGAGAAGGCGTGGAATAGGGTAGGCTGCAGTGAGATTTTCATTACGAATTCAGATCATCATTTGTTGTTTGTGGTGTCTGTTTATTGTGTCTTGTCCGTGGGTTTGTGTGTGGTGCAGCCCTCTACACTTACTAATACCTCTAGATGGGAAAAGGGATATTATAGCTATAAATAAGCAATGTACTGCCATGCCTAAAACCACGATGTATATATCTTTTAATGCTACATAAGCATTTCATACATGAATAAGACTTAAATTTAGAAAATCCACCCCCTATCGCAAGCCTATTTATTATCAAAGCCTATATTGAAGACGTTAATTGGAATCATAATACAATGAAATATAATTATGTTACATGGTACCGTGTACTATAATACCCAACTTTGAAACGGTTTAACGTTACGTTAAATAGTTTTAAAGGGGCCTCCTACGAGAATAATTTAGTTTTATCTCACCAGTCGGAGGGTTTTTTTTAAATGATAATTCATTCTTTGTACAGATATTTGATTGGAGATTTGTAATTACTCTCAGTATGTTAAAGATTTGCACAAGAGCATACCAAATAATTACGTTTTAGCCGACAGCCCAAAAAACATTCAATGCTCTCTAGCCCACGGGTATGGAATTCCCCGTTATCAATTTGCTTGTTTCAGATTTACACTCAAGTTGGACTTGGTTCGGGGTCCACTGTGGCTCAGTAAGTAAGACGTTGGCTCGCTAACCTGGAGGTCTTGTCTTCGATCCTAGTGTTAGCCGAGAAAGTTCATCTCGATTTTCCGACATGGTTCCCCCTTGTCGGGGTGTAAAACGGGTGGCCTGGCAAGGGATAACGTATAGTCGTTCGGGTGGGACAAAAACCCGAGTTCCCGTGTACACCTAAAAGAACCTTTGACAGTTGGAATTCGAAATAAGAGTAATCCACAGCGCCCCTAACCGGCAAAATTTCCCTCGTAGCACACTGCATGGCGTATGCCGGTCTTCATTAACCCAGTCGGTGCAGAACAGAAGGATATAAAACCCCATCTTATTGTTTCAGTTATTTAAACAGATCAATTGACTCGCGGCATTTAAGTATGAAATTACATACTTTGTATGAATTGAGGCTTGATATTATTTATAGTATCTTGCATATTTGATTTGGATAAACAGAACGTTGCGTTTATTTCCAAGTTGTTTTTTTTTAGTTTAAGCTACACTATGTTTCGTAAACAATATACTCGTCAATACTCTCTGTAATATCTTTGAACCAACACATTATTCAATTACAATTAATTCTTTTTCAGATATAATAACAGTAATTTCGTTCATATAATAGTGCGCCTAAAGTCCATCACCATTCGGTGATACATAACTCACATGTTATGCATCACTGAATTTGATAATATAATAACTGATCACGGGCAATTAATAACCCACGAGCACTGTAAGACAGACGATCCACCGTCAACCTAGAACACATGACCTTTAAACAATAGAATAAAACAATATACTATAGCAATGTTCAAAACGTTATTTGTGGTTCAGATGAACAACGTTAAACATAATCAATGAAGACGTATTTTCTTTTTATCTTCTGTATGCTAGTTAATCTGACAAGAGGTGGGTGTTTTACATTGAAATTGGTTGAATATATACATAATGTGTATCCACAAATCGGGTCATATGTGTTCTCTGAAAATTTAATATTTTCAATAATTGGCTAAACGATGCTAATTAAAAATAGTTGTCATTTTAAAGGAGCTAAATCGCTATTATTTGGGGCCTAGAAATTGACATAAATAGGTCGCAACGCATATAATAGTGTGATATGAATGTATATAAACTGATTTACATTCAATCGTTTCCGTTTTTACTCTAATTTCAAATCAGTTATGTTCGGCAAAATATGCCAGAAGTCTCAATCGAATGACAATCTCTAGCGTCTGGTTATTCTAGTCAATATAGTATTTATTGTGCATTCTCTCCAGATATAAATATGCCGTCACCGTTTGACATGACTTGTGGAATATGTCTAGCCTTGTTCTTCGAGTCCCTTGTTAAAAATGGGCCTGAAACGCATTACGGTACACGATTCGTGTACCAATGGTAAAATGTTTATTTTGTCTTAAATATTGGATATCAGAAGGCCATCTTTTCCCGGTAAGAATACAACATCAATGTTGATTTAAATTGACAAATAATTCGTGTTTTCAATGTCGAAGACTGTGGATGATATTGAGTTAGAGACTTAGCTACTTTAACTTTAATTTCTTTAATGGTTATCGATTTCACTGGGATTAGAATACATCTTCGTAGGGGTGTGTCCAGAAATTTGAGCAACGAGGGGTCCAAAGTGGCGACAATGCTTCGCTCGTTGTTTTTTAGAACGTTATTTCGATGAATATAGGAGGAAAAAAATAAAAAATGCTCCGTGCGAGCAGGGACTGTGTGTGTGTTGGGAGTTGAGAGTACTGTAAGTTATATCTGAGAAGAAACTTCTTTGAATTAAACCACCTGTTTGAACACCAAATTTTAAACTTACGTTTTTATTACAGGCTGTAATCAGACTGTTGTAGCTGAACAGGGAACTATTACATGTCCCGGCTATCCAAATCACTACGCCAGCAATTTATATTGCGTTTACACAATTACAATTCCTTCAGGAAAGAGTGTTTTCTTGTCATTTGAAAATTTCGACGTATAAGTCGATTACAAAATTTCTTGATGTAATAATAAATCGAACAGCAACATGCCATTGTGGCCATTTCAGAAGTTATTAAACTGTTCCGCGTTATCATTGTTAAACTTCATAATGTCACCCATATTGACCGCCCGCTTCCGTACACTACGGTTAGCTTAAGGACACAGCTGCAGACGAGCAAACTTTCGGGGGTGGCTCCATCCGTTTTCATCCGCTCCAGAAATGGACAAAATTGACGAAAATTTGCGAAAACAGAACGGAAAAGAACGAACGTGGGAATGGATGTTCATCGGAAGCCTAGCGGATGAAAGCGGATGGAAGTGGATGACACCTCCGAAGGGGTTAGGCAAACTCCAGACATCCTTCAATATACCAGATACATCCCAGATACAAACGCTTTGTCCGTTTTGAAAACTTTATATACGAGATGCATACTCTTGCATCCTTTCTATTTCCGTGCTACTAACGATGTATAGACGTTCCATGTACCCTATCTTTCCTCCCTCTTTCCGTTTTCAGCTGGAGCGGATGTGAGTTGCGAGGATGTCCAGAGGATGCAGAGAGGATACAATGGACGTTTAACGGATGATAACGGACATGGAACGTTTGGTGCTGGTATATGTCGGGCATTTACATCGTACACGGCAGAAAGTTCATCCGTTATAAAAGTTTTGTGCAGCTCAAAACCTTTTGCGCGGATGAAATTAAAGTGA